CGTCCTCTCTCCTTTCTTGGACCAAAGATGGGAGATACTTTTCGTTAAATTCCCTTACAAAGTTCGCCCATGTCCATACCGTCTGTTCTCTTTCCCACATGGCCTTAATTACATTTCACCACGCTCGGGCTGGTCCTTCGAATTGAAATACAGCAAAATTTACTTGTCTTTGCTCCGTGTAATTCAAAGCCGCGAAGATATTAATCATTGCCTCCATCCACAGTTCAGTTATATCCGGATCAGGCCCTCCTTGAAATTTCGGAGGTAGAAACGTTGGCCAGGCTCCACCCGACAACAAGGTAATACTCGAGTATACCAAACGTTCACCCAAGGTCACTAAATCGCCCGATCGAGTCCGCTTCTGACTCGAGTCGATCAGTAACGAAGGGCAAGGGCCCAATTCAGCCAAACGGCTTACATTCATGCGCAACTAGCATTTCATTATTTAATCATTGAAAATTTCACATTCATTTAGGTCGAGTGCGATAAAGTACACACTCGCCTAGAAAACGCATTTGAAGCAATCATTGAAAACATTTAACATGTTATCATTCGTTCATAACAAGTCATATAATCAAGAACAAGCCACATAGTCAATGAAAATATAACAAACAAGAAACACTCACCTATTTACGCAAAATAACGTCCAAAATATCCTTCCGGATAACACCCTCAATCACCAAGGAATCCTAATATAATCAAAAGAACACATTATGCTTCAACCATCAAAGATGTAAGTGATTCAAAGAAAATTCGAATACGTACTAGTACAAAGTATAAATATGATTTTGGTAGTGAAAAGAGTACATTTAAACCAAAGGACATAAGTAAAATATTTGTAAAACTTAGGCTTACTTGTAAAACTTTAAAATCGCTATTTGAGTCGAAATGACAAAGAAAACATAAATACCCTAGATGGTTCACGTGGTATTCGCTCTCAAGTCTTACTCAAGTCACAAGTATATCGACCTATTTTTTGAGCGTAAATTTGGGCAGCACGCCCTTTGTATTTTCCTATTTTCCAGCCATTTATGGCTTCATTCTTTTTCTCAATCAATCCCAAAGTCATACACAAAATCATCTCATTTCAATAGCCATTCCATAGGCACCAAGTCATTCAAGTACAAAATCAAACTAGGAACATGTGCGGAAATGAAGTTTAGCAAAAGACAGATTTGATGTTGTTTTGCGTAACGGACACAACCGAAGCTACGCTTATCAGATTGAGGTGAAATTTATACCGTTTCGAAGCTAAGATAAAGTCCTACAACTTTGATGGAGATGACTCAGTCCAGTTTGTAGTGTATCTAAGTCAAAATGTCAAATTACAGAACCAGAATCTCACACTCGGGCTAGTTAACCGCACTATTTATAAACAACCATAACTCAGGCTACCAAAGTCCAAACGAGGTGATTCGAGGAGAGTTGGAAAGATAAGACATAGGACTACAACTTTTGTGTTTTAGCTAAATGCTAGTTCAGTATGTATCAAGGTGAAAAGAAACGATCAGATTGATGAAATTTCAAAACTGTCCATTGGACTTAACCTATGGTAGTCAGGGGTATTTCAGTCGTTTCACAGGATACGTTGTTCTGATTGAGTTGTAATTTTGTAGGAAACTATAAAACATCATTCTATACAACTTTCATGTTTTATACTAAGCCTAATTTGGCCTCTAACATCATGAAATGGAACCGGGCAGAACTGAAGCTTGAATTTCCAGAAATCTGGACTTTTGTTATAGTCAAGCTATAATTCACATTTTTACCTTAAAACCACCACTACTTTCTCCTTTAAAAGATTAGATACCATATATATACACCATATAACACCTAACCAACAAGAATTATAAGTGAATAAATCGAAACCCTAACTCAAAATTCATCCCTCCAATCATCAAAACCATTTCAAACAAGCATCACAAGCACAATTCTAACATTAATACCCAACTCAATCATGATTAATTGACAAGAAAGGGTGATCAGCCACTATACCTCAAGACAAGGCCTTGCAAGAGTGATCCTCCACTACTCCTTGAAATTTTTGGTTCCTCAAGCTTCCCAAGCTTTCAATTTGCAAGTTAATCGGTTTAGTTTTCTTGTTTTCTCACTAAATCAAACAAAACCCAAGATGGAATTAGAGCTTTTTTTTTCTTGTTTTCTCTCTCACTCTCACGGCTGGAGGGCTGGAAATGGGGGCTCAATTGAAGCTTCAAGAAGGTTAAAATGATAGGAAGTAAGTTGGGTCAAAGTGGACAAATGTCACCCTTGGATTGGAAGTCAATTTTTTTCTTTTCTCTGTTGTTTTCTTGGTCAAATATTGTGGCTGATGTATGAGATATTTTGAGGGTTAATTAGCTGAAATAAAATGAGAAGATTAAGGTAATAAAGTATGGGTCAAGTGGTGTGTTTACCCAGTAACAAACGGTACCCGTCGGTTTCGAGCCGATTTTTCTTCAATCGCGTATACTAGGGTTTTTAACTTATAATCACTAACTTATTATTATCACTTCTAATCACATACTTAATATCATCTAAAACTCACTCTTAATCACCACATTTATCGCACTAGCGGATCCCACATCGATAATGCGTTCCACATTTACCGTACACTAACTCATACTAGGAAAATGAATTTAAAACAGTACTTGCTTGTAAAAATGCATAGAAATTTTAATATGTCCAAGGAAAGTATAAAATGTAGGCAAAGGAATAAAATAATGCTGAGAAAATGTGAAAATTTTTGGGTTCTCACACTACCTACCCGCAGGTAGTATTACTACATGGGTACAGTTGAAAAAGAAGTTCCTAGAAAAATTCTTCCCTGCATCCCAAGCTGCAAGTTTGAGGAAGGAGATATGCAGCATCAAGCAGTACCTCGGAGAGTCCTTGTATGATTATTGGGAAAGGTTCAATAAGTTGTGCACTAGATGCCCGCAGTATCAACTTAGTGAACAAGTATTGATCCTGTACTTCTATGAAGGGTTGCAGTCTTCTGATAGAAGTATCATCGACGCTGCGAGTGGATGAGCACTAGCAAATAAGACACCGAAAGAAGCATGGGAGCTTATTGAAGCAATGGCAGAAAATTTTCAACAATTTGGCTTCCGTGAGAGTAATCCCACCCGTAGGGTCAACGAGGTAGAGACGTCATCTATTCAGCAGCAACTGTCAAAGTTGACGTCTTTTGTTCGACAATTAGCCGTGGGGAATGCGTAGCGTGCGAATGTCTGTGGAGTTTATACAAGTATGGACTATCCCACGGATGCATGTCCCATCTTGCAAGAAGATGGAGCTGAAAAAGTAAACATGGCAAGAGGCGTGCCCGTGCCTCATAGGCAGTATGACCCGTACTCCAACACGTACAATCCGGGTTGGAGAGACCATCCCAACTTCAGCTACGGGAACAGGCCGCAAAAATTCCCTCCAGGATTTCAATAACTATGGCAACCAAAGCCTCTGCCTTCATCTGCAGATTCAGGAGACTCTTTGATAGACATTGTCAAGAGCCTGGCCATAAGTACTACTCAGTTTCAAAAGAAAACTAGATCGGGCATGAAAGATATGGAGACCCGAATAAGCCACATGGCAACTACCATTAATCGCCTGGAGTCTCACGTTTTTGAAAAATTGTCATCGCAACCCAAGACAAATCCCAAAAATGTAAGTGTCATGACACTGAGAAGTGGCAAGGAAGTGGAGGGACCTAAGTTAGCAGATCCGAAAAGCAAAAGTGAAGAAGAGATAGAAAAGGAGATCGAAGAAGAAGGACACATTCACGAAGACACTAAGGTAACACTTACTCCTTCAATTCCTATTAAATCTAACTTACCTCTTTTTCCTTGCAGGTTGAAAAAGACAAAGAAGGCAGAGAAGGAAAAAGAGATTCTAGACATATTCCAGAAAGTGGAGATCAACATCCCTTTGTTAGATGCACTGAAGCAAGTATCGAAATACGCCAAATTTCTGAAGGATTTGTGCATATATAAGAGGAAAAAGTGGTGGTGGGAGAAAATGTGTCGACTATATTTCAAAGGAAACTCCCTCCGAAGTTTGGAAATCCAGGTATGTACACAATTCCATGTAAAATAGGTGATACCCCAATTAGGAAAGCGATATTGGATTTAGGGGTGTCGATTAATGTAATGCCTAAAACTATTTATGCGTCTCTAAATCTTGGGCCATTAAAAGGCACAAGCATCATAATCCAACTAGCGGACTATACCAATGCTTATCTGGAGGGGTTAGTTGAAGATGTTTTGATGCAGGTTAATGAGTTAGTTTTTCCAACAGATTTTTGTGTCCTAAACATGGGAGATGAAAGGTCATTAAATCTGTCACCTATTTTGTTAGATAGACTATTTTTAAGCATTGTTAGGACAAAAATAGATGTGAATGAGGGTACTTTGTCAATGGGGTTTGATGGAGAAATGGTAAATTTCAATATTTTTTATGCGATGAAATATCCGGAGGAATTTAACTCTGTTTTTGCTTTAAGTGTTATTGAGCCCCTTGTACAGGAAACGTTTGAATTTGATGAGGAGGATGCACTAGGAGTGGCTTTGGCAAAACACCTTGAGTTGGGAGCGACTCTCAGTGTGGGAATAAGTGATGAGTTGTACCATGCGGTTGAAGCACTGCACTCACTTCCATCAATTTCTTCAAGGTATGAGCTCACTTCTGTCTTTGTACCTGAAACTCAGAGGAAGTTGTCGCCTTCTGTTGTGCAGGCACCCGAGCTGGAGCTCAAGCCTTTCCCGAAACATCTGAAGTATGTATTTCTCGGGGACAAGGAGACACTACCAGTGATAATTTCTGCACATCTATCACCAAGTTAAGAAGACAATCTGGTTCGTCTTCTTCGAGATCATAAGGAAACGATTGGGTGGAGCATCACAGACATCAAAGGAACCAGTCCATCCTTATGCATGCACCGAATACGGCTCGAAAATGATGCGAAACTGGTGAGACAAGCGTAACGAAGATTGAACCCACTGATGATGGAAGTAGTTAAGAAGGAGATACTCAAACTCCTGGAGGTGGGAATCATCTTTGCCATCTCGGACAGCCCGTGGATGAGCCTAGTTCAAGTAGTCCCGAAAAAGGTGGGAGTAACTGTAGAAGAGAATCAGGAAGGCGAGATGGTCCTAGTGAGGAAACCCACAGGATGGCGCTAGTGCATTGACTACCGGAGATTGAATGCAGTAATGAAAAATGACCACTTCTCTCTCCCTTTTATTGATCAGATGATAGAGAGATTGGCCGGCCATTTTTATTACTGTTTTCTTGATGATTTTTTAGGGTACTTCCAGATCGCGATAGCACCGGAGGATTAGGAGAAAATCACATTCACCTGCCCATTTGGTACATTTGCCTACCATAGGATGCCTTTCGGCCTCTGCAATGCTCCAACAACCTTCCAAAGGTGCATGGTAAGTATCTTCTCCGAGCATGTAGAAAATATTATTGAGATATTCATGGATGATTTTAGCGTATATGGGGATAGTTTTGAGAAATGTCTTGATAATCTAGCTTTAATTTTGAAACGGTGCATAGAGACAAATTTAGTCTTTAATTGGAAAAAATGCCACTTTATGATGGAGTATGGTATTATCTTAGGACATGTAGTGTCGGGTAGGGGAATAGAGGTAGATAAAGCAAAAGTCGACCTTATTTCTGCTTTACCTTACCCCATAAGTGTACAGGAAATACGTTCCCTTTTGGATCATGCAGGGTTCTATAGGAGATTCATCAAGCACTTTTCAAAGATTGGAGCACCCTTGTTCAAATTGTTGCAGAAGGAAGTAGCATTTGACTTCACCGATGAATGCAAGATGGCATTTGATAAACTAAAAGAATCGTTGACATCACCACTCGTCATTCAACCCCTAAACTGGAGCCTCCCAATCGAAATAATGTGCGACGCGAGTGATTACGCAGTGGGAGCAGTGTTGAAGCAAAGGATTGGCAGGGCAGCGCATGTAATTTATTATGCATCGAAAGCGTTGAATGGATCTCAACTTAACTACTCTATGATGGAGAAAGAATTATTAGCTATTATTTTTGCACTAGAAAAATTTAGATCTTATTTATTGGGTACAAAAGTAATAGTTTTCTCTTATCATGCAGCCTTAAGGTACTTGCTGACGAAGAAGGATGCAAAACCAAGGCTCATCAGATGGATCCTACTCCTGCAAGAGTTCGACCTGGAGATTAAAGATAAAAGTGGGGCAGAGAACTTAGTTGCTGATCACTTGAGCCACTTGCTTGTACATAAGGAGGGGCAGTCATTGAGAGAGGCATTTCTAGAGGAGCAATTACTTGCCGTTGATTCGTCTGCACCTTGGTATGCTGATATAGTGAATTTTTTAGTAGCTAATCAATTATCTACAGGTTGGCCAAAGGTTAGGAGAGACAAACTGAAAAGTGATGCTAAACACTACATTTGGGACAACCTCTATCTTTGGAGGTAATGTTCGGATCAAGTGCTAAGAAGGTGTGTAAGTGCACGTGAATTCCACTCCATTTTAACTTTCTTTCATTTGTTTGCATGTGGAGGGCATTTTAGGTCAAAGCGAACAGCTCGTAAGGTGTTGGAGAGTGACGTTTATTGGCCCACCATTTTTAAAGATGCGTATTTATTTAATAAATCTTGTGATAAGTATCAAAGGGTGGGAAATATTTTTCGTAGGAACCAAATGCCTCAGACACCCATGTTATTTGTTAAAATTTTTACTGTGTGTGGTATAGATTTCATGGGTCCTTTTCTCTCGTCCTTTGGTTTCCTATATATCTTACTTGCCATTGATTATGTCTCTAAGTGGGTGGAAGCAAGAGCCACCCGGACTAACAATTCTAGAGTAGTTGCAGAGTTTTTAAAGTCTAACATCTTTGTCCGCTTTGGGATGCCAAGAGCTGTAGTGAGTGATAGGGGGACACATTTTTGTAATAAGACTATTGCTGCCCTATTCCGAAAATATGGCATACTCCACAAAATATCCGCGCCGTATCACCCACAGACAATTGGTCAAGCTGAAATGTCAAATAGGGAGATCAAATTAATCTTGGAGAAGATGGTATGCCCCGATAGAAAGGATTGGAGCTCGAAATTGGAAAATGCACTATGGGCGTACCGCACCGCGTATAAGACGCCGATTTGGATGTCCTCATATAGACTAGTTTTCGGTAAAGCTTGTCATCTTCCAATGGAATTCGAGCATAGGGCATTCTGAGCAGTGAAACAATGTAATATGGATCTTAGGAAGCAGGGGTCCATAGGAAATTGCAACTACAAGAGTTGGAAGAGATTAGGAATGAGACATACGAGAATGCAGTGATTTACAAGGAGAAAAGAAAATTTTTTCATGATCAACAAGTCTCAAAAAAGTCATTTGTAGTAGGGCAAAAAGTTCTCTTGTATCACTCGAGATTTAAACTTTTTTCTGATAAGTTACGTTCTCGTTGGATTGGTCCATTTGTCGTTTCTATTGTTTTTCATTATGGTGCAGTGGAAATTCAAAGTTTGAAGATAGAGAAGAAGTTTGTAGTGAATGGTCATCGCCTCAAACCTTACTATGAAGGATTCTCCGTTGAGTAAGTCGAAATCATACAACTCGAGGATCTAATTTATCCAGTTTGAGAGTTCCGGTCAAGTCTAGCCAAAAACGTTAAAGAAAGGCGCTACTTGGGAGGCAACCCTAAGCTATTTGTTTTAGTTTTCTTATATTTTTGGACTTTTTGTTAAGTGTTAGTGTCATTTAGTGGTTTGTTGTTTTGTGGCACGAATCTGGCAGTTAGACGTGCACACGCTAGGTGGTCACGCCTAAGTAATGAAGTTTTGAATTGACGGATAGAAGACTCTCCAATAGTTAGGCGTTCCCAAACCAGGTGGTCACGCTTAAGGAAAGAAATTTCACGTCGGCGGTCAGAAGACTCTATAGCAGTTAGGCGTGCCCATGTTAGGTGGTCATGCTTAAGGATCAAAATTTTGACGGATGGTCAGAAGACTAGTAAGCAGTTAGGAGTGCCCACGCCTAGTACAAGGGTTCCTTGTTCAAAAAAAAAAAAGTGGGTGAAAAGACAAAATTGCTCTCACTTATTATTATATAAAAAAAGGGAGAACTCCACCGTAGCCCTACTTCTCATCTTCTTCTTTCTTTTCTCCTTGGCCACCGCCGTACCTTCGCCCATCGTCGCCCATCGTCCATCCGCGTCGCCGCCCGTCGCCGCTCACCGCCAACCAAGCGCGCTACTCAGCGCGCGCGTCGCCTGCGCGGTTCAGCTAGCAACGTGCCCCTCCAGCGCGCACCAAAGCGTGAGCCCCAACGCCCATAGGCGTATAGTCACACCCCAGCGCCCACCAGCGACCCAGTGCGCGAGCCCACACGCTCTCTCTTGCCAGCCTCAGCCCCGCCTCAGCCATCGCTCGTAGCAACGCGCAAACAGCTCCAGTAACAGCTCGTGCAGGCGCGCAAGCCCGACCGCGTGCCCAACCAGCAAGTGCGCACCGCACCAGTGCACCCAGGCGTTCCGTCCCGCGGCCCAGCCGTAGCTGGCGCGCCTTCCCTCTACGTAGCGGCCAAGTGCGCCAGCAGCACGCCTCTCCTCCGCCCAAGCTCACGTCTAGCCCATGCCGTCAAGCCACGCACCTCTGTCCGCACGTGAGGGCAATGCGCTACCTCCGGCGCTGCTGCTGCCGCTCTGCCATTATACCCACTGCCTACTCTCCCCTCAGGTCCCTTCTTTCTTTAATTTTCTGTTACCTTTAGCTGAGGACAGAACTTAAATTTTTAGCTGAGGCCAGATATTTTGATTTTTAGCTGATGACAGACAGTATGTGCTTAATTTGGGTGCTGTGATTTTGTCTTTGGCTACTGTTGGCTATTTGCTCAATTTTGTGTTAAATTCGTGGTATTTGGGGAAGTTTTTGCTCTGTTTGCTTGTTTAATTAGTTTTTAGGTGAGTTTATTGTCTATTTCTTCAATTGTCGGTGTTTGGAGCTGTGATTGGGGACCCTTTTGTTTAAATTGGTTGCCAGTTGACTTATGTTGAGTGTCTGTACTTTGAACATGCCCTGTTTATTGGTGTCAAATGGCTAAACCAAAAGATAAACGTAGGAATAGACCATCCACCTCCACCCTACAACTCACTGTACCTTTGAGTGGGCCTTTCCAAGCGACTGCTTCGGGAGGCCCCCGGACCCATCTTGGGCGGAATACGAAGGTTTACATCCCCTCTCCGGCCCATTTTGGCAAGCATTTGACCCTTACCAGGGCTGCCGATAAGGAATGGTATGCCGCTTCTTGCACAAGAAAAATTATTCCATATAAATTCATCCACGACCCTACACTTGATCTTCTGAATATCAGGGATGGGGTCACTAGAAAGTTAGCTGCCATAGGCTGGACCCGTTATGCTGCCATCATTTTACCTGCTTTTACTGAGTTAACGTGAGAATTATATGTTACTTTTGAGTTTAATGTCCCTGATGAATTCTCCATTACTATTCCTGGGGTAGTGCGGTTTAGGTTGATGGGTAGGGAGTTCACACAGTCTATCACTGAGTTTAATTTGGTTCTTGATTTTATTGACATTCCTTATTCCCAAAATGATGAATATATGGCGAGTGCATGCAAATACATTGAGGTTTTTTTCTCCCATAACACTGGCTATTGGAGAGAGTTGTTGGTTGACCGACAATCCTATGATCCTAATAAGGACCCCATTTTTCAATATCTCCACCGTTTTATGGCTTATAGCTTCTCTGGTAGGAAAGATAGTTCGGGTACTTTGACAAAACCCGAATTCCTTTTTATTTGGTGTATGGTGGCTGAGATGAAGGTCAACTTGGATTGTTGGTTTAACTCTCACCTCTGAACTATCTTGAGTAAGAAAAATAAGCCGTTAATCCTGGGGTCTTTTATCACTCAATTGGTTATAAATCTTGGGGTTCTGGACTTAACTAATCATAATCTGCATTTGGAATGTACTATGGAATCTCTTGATTTAGTTTGTTTGGAAAAGATGGGTCTAGTGCAATAGGTAAATGATGCCTTCCAATTCACTTTCCCGGGGCCGATCCATGTTCCTCCTAGGCACACAGCTTCCAAACATGCCACCTCGGAGGCTGGCAGTCCTTCTACCGATGCCCCTGGACTTTCCTCTTCTGCACCTCCGCCGACGTCCTCTACTGACAGCCAGTCTTCCGCCCTTTGCTTCCAGCTACATCACATGGATTCTAGATTGGAGCGGATAGAGTGCCAGGTGGCCGGAATGGTTCAGAACTTGGCTCAGTACTTCCATCACGTGGGCTTCCACCCACCCTTTCCTCCAGAGCTTTAGTCTCTTTCTCCCTCCTCCGTGTTCAGGGAAGTGTCGTTGCCCCATTACCTCTTTTTTTGTTCTCTATTTGCTTACATTGAGGGCAATGTAAGGTTTAGGTGTGGGGGAGGGTTAACTACACTTTCAGTTGTTTGATTTGCATTTTCTTTGCCTTAGTAGTTCTTTGATTTAAACAGTGATGAATGCAATTGAGATATGAGTATAAGTAGTAATTTCATGCCATGGGGTTTTCTCCTTTTCTCGATGATGAATTGATTGATGAATATGCTGAACTTGACATAATTTTGACCACTTGTGCGATTTTTGGGCCTAATTTTTCGTTTGGTGAGTAGTTATTATACATGGTTTGTCATTCTAGAACTTGTTCAGTTATGCATGTCAAGACCACATCTAATTGAATTTGATGCATTAAAATGATGGGGCACCTAGGATTGAACCATTTTTTACTTGCTCAAAACTTACATTTATCTCATCTACCTTTACTGAGCCAAGTTGAACCTTTAACCCTCTTTCTTCGTTTGATACCTTGATTGTTAGTCAAAAAACCTTATTTTTAGACTTTCTCTTTGTATCTTGAGTTGAAGAAATGCTGTGATTCCATTGCATGGAAGTTGGGATATTATTTGAAAGGCAGTGAATTATAAATGGAAGTATGACAAGTGAAGTTGACTTCTATGGTGTCGGTATTCAAGAAAAAAAAGAGAAAAAAAAGAGAAGCAACAAAAGAAAAAAGAAAAGGGGAGAAAAAGAAAAAAATATACGAAAAAAAGAGAGAAGAATTTGAAATCAAAGTATTTTTGATAAGTGCCGACTATTACTTCACTTGTTGGGCTATTGATACGTCTTGGAGGTACAAATTTGTAAGAACCTGTGCAATGAATTTGAGGGCATTTTCTTTGACCTTTTTACACCCTTAAAGTCCTTTTTATCCAACCCTTTCACCCGAGCCTCATTACCACCTTGTGAAGTCCCTTTGATTGGTGCACCTAATTCATAGTTAAGTGGTGGAGATATGATGTATGAGCAAGCTTATGGTAATGTCATTTCATTGTATTGATTTGAAAGCCATCCTATATCTTATACATTTTGGAATGAATGAGTGCATATTAAATGTGAGAATTGTCAATTTGGTATAATTTGATTTCGATGAGGTTATTGGGGGAATTTGGAATACTGTTATTGGTATGAACTGCTGTGAATTGCTTGGTATCTTAATTGCACTTCTGAGTTACTTATGCTTGAGGGCAAGCATAGTTCAAGTGTGGGAGAGATTGATAGGGTGCATTTTAGTGGATATTTTGATAATATTGCATAATTGTTTGACTAAATATTGCACTAGTTGGGTGGATTCTGCTCAAATTTTGTGTTGGTGTTACTTGCAGGAAGTGGTGAAGAAAAAGTGCTGAAAATCAACATTCTAGGAGACTTCCTGACAGTTAGGCATGCTCATGCCTAACCCCAACCTTCAAAGCTAGATTCTCGTGATTCTCCGCACGTGGGGAGCTTCAAAAAGGGAGTGAGGTTGTCTACAAATTTGGAGATCGGTGGGGCCACTCCAGAGCTGAAGAAAGTAATTTGTAATAGGATTTCTATTATTTAGGAAGTTTGGTATTCGGATACCAATTTTAGAGGAGAAAAACTAGGACTAGATATACGCTTTTTTCTTTGGTAGGCCTGGCCGAAAAAGAAAAAGGAATTCCTTCATCTTTTTGGTGGCTACCAACATAGAGAAGAGTTTGTACTTCTTTAGGCTTGTCTTTGACTTTTCTTACTTTGGGAGGAAACAAACGAATTGGCCACCATTGTTAACTTATTGAATTTGCTTTTTCCTTTGGTGTTGACCGAATTGACAAAAGGCATCAGACTCTCTCATATGATTTGGTTGGAGACAATAGAAAGCAACAATTTTTCTTGTTCTTTTCTTTCTCTGTTGACTGAAATTGAGAGAGCGAATTTGGCAACTTTTCCCAATTCTCTACGCATGGCTTGTTCTCCATTAATGGAGAACTAACTCTCTAATTCTAGTCAAAGGGACAACTGAAGATATGGTTCGACAATTACTGTGAGATCTAAATTATTTTAACTGCTTCCTCCATTTATTGGTATTTATATGTTTTCTGCTTTTAATTGTTATAACTTTTGTGTATGATTGAATAGTGCGCAATATTTAATTATTCACGTAGGCTATTTTGCTAATTAGAGGTAGTTGGATCCGTAATTGTTCGATTACCTCTGTCTCGGTAGCAACTGGCATAA